CCCCTCACCCCCACCCACACCACCCTCTTACAAAAACGTCCTGATTCAGGTAGGCATGTTGCAGAGGAAATATACCAGCGCCTGTGGTGTAGCACTTACGCACTTTTCTATTGCATGCAGAAGACCCAAATTTAATTCTCATTCAGGTTTGGAGAAATTTTGATCGAGTGTCTCTGTGTTTCTGCTGGGATGTCGTAGGCCCTCTGACAGGCAGGGTCAGAAGCGCACCTCCTAAATTATCAAAATTTTGTTGATGGGGGGAAAAAAATAAATCTAAAAATAGAGCAACCTGCATATTTCCTTCGGTTCCTGTCCTTGATGTGTTTGTATTTCCTCTCGTACGGCTTGGGCACCTGGAGGGGGGAGTGGACCGACTGGTAGGCCAGGTACATGAACAGAGGCTGGAATATACCAATATATAAGATTAGTTGGAAAGTGATGTCGAATAAAATCGACTTTAGAACTAAACTATCCATGCATCTAGCTCATTTTCAAGTACATTTATGTCACGACGTGGTGGAATCAGGCGCTCGACAGTTTTTGGGCATGTGATAAATGGCTATAGGCACATTGTCCTATCCCCTTTTAATGCTGATAAAATGTACTAAGCCACCACATACAGAGATTTATAACACCAAAAGCATGGTTTGCTGGAGGACAAATCAGCATACAGCTCACCACAAAATTCATATAGAGATATTATTGATGGTTTGTAGACCTTCAAAGGAGAGAACATAAAAGATAGCAGACCCCTCGCAAACACCCCACCAGACAGCACCACTCACCTTACTGGGATCATGAGCCTGCACCACATCAATAGCCTTCTCCGTGAACAGATGACCAGAGTAATGTCCACTCTCGTTGTGAGCCGGTCCGTCCTGGTCACACAGATCCAGGTACCACTTGCCGTCCATGAAGGTCCGCTTGTGGTTGTTGTAGTTCTCGCTGCCCGTCAGGTACCCTGAACAAAAGATGTGGAGATGTTTGTTTGTTTTGGTAAGGTTTTACGGCGCTCGCAACTGCATAAGGTCATACGAGTGCCAAAGGGTAGATGTCAACAGAGAAGTCCAAATGGAGAATCAGGCTTACTCTGCTCAACTCTCTAGCTTCAACAGCACAAAGTCTGCTTCGGCTATCAAGGCACCCCGGAAATAGCGGGTCACAAGAGTGTGACAATCAAACATACAAAAGAAGTAGAGGCAAAATGACAATAATAAGGATGAGGAAAGAAAAAGCAGCAGTTTCAGCACAGTATGAGCATGGCATTGATGAATCAGCCCATTTACAATTCTACTGAGCATAAGAACATATTAATATC